CTGAGAAGGCATTTTTTAGTGGAGTCTTCTGATTTCCAGAGTTTATGGCTTACAAAACTTAAAGCTTGTCACTTTCTAGGAAAGATCTGATTTTTTTTTTTCCCCAAAAGTATTTTCCCATATTGATTTGAGGTCCTTCTCCTTTTATTCTCTCCTTCCCCAACCATCTGGGGAAGCGGTGAAGGGATGATGAAATGCTCAATAAAAGCCACAGGGAAGAAAGAAATCAAAAGGTTTGGAAAAATCTACAAACCAGACAAGTAGTCCCTAAGTAAGAGCTGACTGCAAAGATGCTCTGTCAGCCGTACCAACCAGTAGAGGTGACCACATCCTCTCTTTGTCCTGGGGTGGTAAGGAGAGCACCAGAACCATTAGCTTAATTTATCAATGATGTCTTGGTAGTCCAGAAGCCCTGGTGGTGCAGTGATTAAGAGCTTAGCTGTTAACAAAAAGGTAGGCAGTTTGAATCTACCAGCTGCTCCTTGGAAACCCTATGGGGCAGTTCTACCCTGTTGAGTAAGGTCACTGTGACTTGAAATCAACTTGCTGGCAATAGGTTTGGTTCTGGTAGTCCAACACACCTTAATATATTCTTAGATATTTTATGATTTCAAATCATCTTTAATCTGTTGACAAAAATATTTTAACAACAGCCAGCTGACTTCATTTCCAATTTGTAAATTTAAATTCTCAACTTTTCCAATTCAAATTAAAAACAGGGTCATTATCTCTTCATGTATGCTAGCATAGTAATTACACAGTAACTTCACCAAGCCAAGTCATGTCACTTAAACAAAGAAGGTTGAGGCAACACATTCAATCTACGAGAAAAATTTTACCAGGTGCTCACATGTGAAGCACTACTCATCATTTAAAGATGAAATTATGCAAAACACTCTTTTTCATTTCTAGATTTAGAGCATTAAATGAGAGAATTAAATACACAGTCCTAGTTCTTTACATTGAGACAGGTAAACTTTTAAAGTAAACTTGTAAAAACAGAAACAAATCATAGTATGAAAAAAAATCAAGATAAAGAAAAATGTTTAGCCTACTTCTAATAATTCAAGGTATGGAAATAGAGAGATAGGTTTGCTCCCATGTGTTAGCAAATATCTGTCTTGGAAACTGGGAATTATTGTGTGCCCTTGAGAGGCAAGTTTCTATAGAAATATAAATTATAACATAAAAATAAGTTCATGGCTGTTTCCTCTGTCATGCTTCACATGTATCTTCCCTTTGTGTTAATGACTTCTGGAATCAGTTGTGACATATGTTGAGAAAAATTCTGACCCAGAGAAAAATCATTATAATCTAATTTTATAGCATTTTCCTCCACGATATCAATAATACTCCCTCCCTAGAAAAATCGGGTGAAATGCATATTTAGACAAGTATAGCTTTCTGATAAATCATTTCACAGATGAGAAAGAAACCATGTGTGAAATGAAAGTTAGATGTTTTCAAAACCACTTAATTTAACGAGAGGACACTAATCAATACGTAACGTTCTTCATAATGAAAGAAACAGAAGGATGGTGATACATTTGTAAGCGTGGGTCACATTGCCTCACATTGTATTCCGTTCCTGTTCGGCTTCCCTGGAGACTGGATTAAAAGAGCCTGCTTCAGCTGGATCACCACCTGCCTTTAAGGGCTGAGCAAAAAAACACAGATGAACTTGTGCCCCCTAAAGCAAGCAAAACATTCACTGGCGGCATCGACCTGTTAACGTTTAAAATAAAAAGTCTAATACATATTTTAAAATTCTTAATAAACTTTTCATGCAAACATTTGAGATTTAATTTATTAATATATGAATATTAAAATAATATATTTGCATTTTACAAGGTGAGACAATCTCATCATACCAAAGTTTTTTATTTTTCAAACGTGCAAAGAGAAACATATTTAAATGAATGTTATTCTTCAAAATAATCACTTTGGAATGCTTTTGAAAGTAACTTTTTTCAAATGATTTTCAAGAGCTAGTTTTAGAATCATAAGAGAAATCGATTTGTTAACATATTTTCTCTCTCTCCTTTGTCTCTCCATACACACACACACACATCAAGAAAGGAAAGCTATTAAATGTTGGTGTTAGTGTATGATTTTCCAAGTATTTAAATACAAGTGTAAGAAATATTTAAATACAAAATATTGGAATCCCATCTTGCCTCACTGGCAAGAAACTTCAAATCAAGTTTGAAGTTTAATAATAACAACTATGTCAGCATTTGCATCCTGTAAATTTTGATTGTTTTACGCCATAATTTCATTTTTGTATGTTTTTCCAAACAGGTTTTTTTTTTAACTTCTTTGGTATTTTTCATCATTTCATTAAATATACTACTGTTGTACATCATCTTAATTCTATTTAGATAAGAAAGTCATAACTTTTAAATATATAATACTTATAGAAAAACAGGGAGAGGGAAGAATTAATGATTAATCCGTACTTACATTTCTTCAAAATGGCAATTTCTAATTCAACTGCACTAAAGTTTGTCATAGTGTTCTATATTCCTTCTCTTATTTGAGTCTCAGATCTTTCTCTAACTGATGCTCCCCGTACAGTCTAGAGGACATTTTAATTCAATAACCAAGCCAAGATACAATAGAAACTTTGGATACAAGATTTTTTTTTTTTGTATGAATTTGATGTGTACACTTTGGGAACACAAAAATGTATGAGGTAAAAATGACGCACACATAAATTAGAATTTTAGTTTGAGTTCAGTACGGGTTCTCACATTTTCTCCGTGAAATCTCTGTTTTATTTTTATTCTCTATAATGACAGCCTTAAAAACAATAAAATCATTTTCTACTAGGTAATTATTGTTTCAGAGCATTTCCGACGACCATAAAAACACTTAACTGGCACTTGCTCCTAATAGATACTCAACAAATATTGGTTGACTGTATCAGTAATGATCTCTTAAACTGTTTTTTAAAAATGCAACGACTGTAAAGCTCATTACTTCCCTAAGTTTCTAATTTGCTCTACTATCACATTTTCACAGAGGGGCAGTGTGTGAGAGGTGATTCAGGACTTCACTGCCAGGAAGAAGCCAGTAGAATAGTTCATCTACGAGGTGAATCAGAGGCTAAGGCCCGAATCACACACACACTGCCCCCAGGTCACACCTGGATCCTATTCGCAGCCCTGGGTATCTCCCACGAAACACATCCTCACCATCTGCCGCCTCCATCTCCACAAAGCCGCGTTCTGAAAACAGAGCATGGCACGATCCCACACTCATCGTCACGGAGACCCCAAGACTTGGTGTCAGAGAGCATCCCAATAACCTCCACTCAGATGACACAAAGCAGCATACAACAGAACACGGCGCAGTCACAGCTTCCTTTAAATGTACTTGAATACGTTATCAATAGCTATTACTTGTTTTTAACACCTCCGGAAAGTGAGAGTCAGAAAAGGGAACTTCCCCAAGATCTTACAGTCATGCCATTGTGGAGCAAGGCTTCAATCCATGTTTGCTCTCCTATCTATAGCTATCCCATCGAATAGTGTCCATTCAAGTGCAGTGAGAGTGTACACTTCCACAGTGGCTGCAACCTGTAATGCGCAATCCCTTAAAACTCTCATTGACTTTAGCATTCAAACAAACCAGGATCTATTTATGGGGATAATGACACAGCCCTTCCTGAGCTTTCCTTTGTTGCTTTCATCCCCTCCCGATTACATGTCTTCTGCTTCCTAACCCTAGTTTATCATAAACAAAGTGCATTCTATTTTTTCTCAAAACTACCCCTTAAGTTCCTTTGATGCTTCTGCAGCATTCCAGATCTTACGATATTCAGATCACCTACTCTTCAACGCTACCCTATTTCATAGCTTATCTTCTTAGCTTTTATATGTAGCATGGAAAATTTTTATTACTTGCTATATTTTATGGGTGTCTCGAGGTCATGCATATTCATTACACTATATAAATAATAATAGTGCAATAAAATATCAGACAGTGATATTTAGCTTAGGTGGTAAATTTTCAAAGAGTGGGTTTGGTTTTCCATAAGAACTGAAGGAAGTTGTGACGTCGATTCCTTGGAGCCCTACGACTATTACTGAATTTACATTAACGACTGATTTGCTGTGCAGCCATTAATCATGTTTACAGATCTGCTTACCGTGCAACAGAGGTTCAGGCTGGACGCCACTAGGAGGAGCCTAGATGTCACTACCTGTCGAATGGAATTTTACTGCAATCTATTAAACGTTAATATTTAAAACATGATCACCTTCCAAATGTCAACGCTTTAAAAACGTTTTCCCATACAAAACTTTACAAAAGTTACACGTGATTATTTTTTAAATAATTTTTTATTGTGTTTTAGATGAAAGTTTCCTGTGCAAATTAGTTTCTCATTCAAAGATTTATACACAAATCGTTTTGTGACATTGGTTTCAACCCTCGCAATGTGTCAGCACTCTCCCCCTTCCCCTTTCCTCCCCGGGTTCTCTGTGTCCACTCATCCAGTTTTCCTGTCCCTTCCTGCCTTCTCCTCTTTGCTTTTGGGCAAGTGTTGCCCATTTGGTCTTGTAGACTTGATTAAACTAACAAACATGTTCCTCACATGTGTTATTGTTTGTCTTATAGGCCTGTCTAATCTTTTGCTGAAAGGTGGACTTTGGGAGGGGTTTCAGTTCTGAGTTAGCAAGGTATCCAGGGGCCACAGTCTCAGGGGTTCCTCCAGTCTCTGTTAGACCAGTAAGTCTGGTGACACTTGATTATTGTAAAGAACCTTCATAATTAATAGATTACGTTCTAGAAGACACAGAAGTTATCTATGAAACAAATGGTTTCAAACACCACTGAAAATGTCACAATATAACAAAAGCAATTTGCAACAGTTATCAGATGTTTGGGTAGTAAATTATACCTGTGGGACAGGTGCGCTCTGCTTCCTGTAGGATAAAGACTCCAATACACCTGTAAGTGTTCCACCACGAAGAACAGAAAGGGTGTTGTTTTACCTGCTGTTGACCTGATGGTTGAGGCGATGTTGGAGGATGTCATTGCAGGAATACATTCATCGTCTTGGGAGTAACCAGCTTGAATGGCCCGAAGGTAACTGTGACTCCTTGTTCGGAAACATCCAGGGAGGTCAAGGGCATCCATGGCCTGAGATTCAACTTCACTAAAGACGGATTCACACACCGATTCAAACTGCCCATTGATCTCAGCTTCACTCATCTAGAATAATCAACAGTACATATGAAACCAGGCTCCGGTGTTAAGCACGTTACAAAAGAACAAGCGGAGGTTGAGATTCACACCGCCATAGTCATTTATCGTCTTATATCTTCAGCATAATTAATTTGAAATCAGATTGAGCAATCTGTTGAGCTTGGGAAATAGTTTATTGGGTTATTTCTTATTAAACAATAAAGTAAATAGCCAATTCCAAAATGTCGATGAAAATCTATGGAACCACAGGGCAAAGCTTTAAAGTAGGGTTGACAGGTTATTGCTAAGAGAGATCGTGCCTTTAAAAGTTTAGCAAAGCATCTGGTACAAAGGAAGCGTTCAAAACATTAGTCCTCCCCTCCTCCCCTTTCCCCAAGCGACTCCCTTACCTTTCCAAGCTAGTTACAGCACAGACAACTCCAGGTATTGAGGGTATGTAAGTAAACACTGAAGTACTATAAGCTATTTTCATTCTTTTCAAAGATAGGAGAGTCTGCATCCACTTGTTTTCATTCCGACTAACAGAAACCTTGGCATATAAACTAATATACTTCCCGCCGTTAAAGAAACAAAAAACTAAACTAAACCCATTGCCATCGAGCTGATTCCAACTTGTGGTGACTTCATGTGTTACGCGGCATGAATCTAGGTCAGATGAGAAAAGAAATGGCGGGATTGCCATCTCTGTCTATACCCAATAAGCTGCATCTACCCAAATTCCACATTTTCCCCCTCTTTTAGCACAGGAGATTAGTATACTCATTTTATTTGATAGTTTAGCAGATAAAGTAATTCTTTTCAAGCCTGTGATTCAATCCTCATCAACAGAGTCACCCTTGGAACCTAAAAGTTCCACCTGTATTAAAAAAATTATGCTTTTGGACAGTGGGGGGATCTCAAGTTTATATGTACGTGTGGGTTTGACCATCAGGCTAGTTGAAGGGCCTTTGCTCAACGTGCACGAATGTGGAGGATACACTTTTCCTGACTTTTCCAGATGGTAATACTTATGTCTTCCTCATGAGTCAAATCTAGAGATTTTGAATGGAAATCCAATAGAGTGACATATTGTACAGACAGGGGTGAACAGAATGGGGTGGGAAAAGGAATGAGAATTTAACAATGAAAAACTGAAGCTGGGCTGATGACAGGTAGTCGCTCACAGACGTAAGGGCAAGAGGGCCCATGGGTTCAGCATGGACAGAACCCAGTTGCTCTAAGTGAATGATTTACTCAGTTTGGTTGAATGGAACTTTGATAAATGATTGGCTGCCAATTACTTACATATTATGGACACATCACTTGTGTGTATTTTAAATGTTAATGTGTATAGACACAGGTGGGTAAGTATTGGTGAAACTGATAAGCAAGGGCTGAGGCTCTCTGGAGAGAAAGGCATATAAAGGAAAGAGAGTAGCAGCAGGGCTAAGGAAAGCCACAGGGAATAAGACCTATTATAATACCTATCATAATGCCTATGGAAGGCCTGCTATGTGGCTTCATGTTCCCCCTCCAGATTTTCTCCTTGCCTCTTCCCTCTTGCCATGGGCTTACAGAGAAGCCTAAGCCAGAAACTTGGGAATCATTCTTGATGCCCCTCTTACCCCATCCTCCATCTCCAGTTGATCATGGGTCTTTTTGGTTCTCTATTCCACATCCGTCCTGCTATCACCACCCATTACAGTTGATCTCTGCTCTGGCCACCTCTACTTCTCTGCCACATTATTACAGCTGCCTCTTGCCTATTGCAGCAGTCCTCTGACTCAGTCTAACAAATCTAATGGTGTCATTCCACTGCTTAAGTTTTTTCACTGGCACCCAGTCTTCAAGCTAAGTACAAATGGCTTAGCATGGCAAATTCCTCAGCAAGGCCCTTCATGAGCCTGCCCTGCTCACCTCTCCAAACTTACTCCTCAGCACTCTTCCTAACTGGAGCCATACACTCAAGTCATACAAAAATAATGCAGTTCCCCAAACTACAATCTTTTCTCCCTTGCCTCTGAATTTGAACAAGCTGCTCCCTCTGCTGGAATGTTCTTTCCCTATTTTTACCTGGCTCCCTCTTCAACACCCTTCGGACCTCAGCTGGGATGTAACTTTCTCCAGGAGGTGACTCTCCCCAATGCCCCAGCTGGGTGAGACGTTGTCCCCTGGGTTCCCACAAAAACCTGTGTATGTCTTATTTCAAAGACCTATCTGCAAGTTCTGTAAGCAAATGTTTACTTTTCTATCTTTGCCCCTACTTCAAAATCTTGATGTCATTTCTTTCCCTTCTCCCTCTCTCTTTCAGTCTATCCCTCCCTCCCTCCCAACCTCTTCCTCCCTCCCACCATCCTCCTTCCTTCCATGATCTTCCTTCCTTCCCTCCTTCCTTCCTCCCTGTTTCTTTCTGTTAGAAAGTTGAGGATGAAGAAATGATTATTTCTCTTCTTGTTCTTTTGGCGTTCATCTTAGCAAGATCTGGACAGTCTGCATGAAGGTCCAAAGCACCAACAATTTTCTGAAAACCATGAATTATGCTGGAGATAAATTGAAAATGTGTTGTTTTAAAAGCCAGATTAGTTCTTTTCCTATAATTGTTCACAGAGTAAAAGTAGGGCAAAAGAATCAGATTCTTTTTTGAAAAGAGAAAACAAAATACTATTATCTTTGACTACCTATAATTTGAAGACCTCTATGTGGACGTCTCTAATCGTACCCAGATATTATTCACATGCTAGAAAAATGGCTGCTCTCACTCTAAAATGCTGAGTGAGCATAACTCAGTCACTGATTCTAGAGACTGTGGAGGAGGGTACTGAGGTGAATTAAAGGACAGGACTACCTGTCAGGCCAAAACGTAATGCCAGCATAAAAGACCAGAGAAAAACGAATGGAAGACTGCAATCATCTGAACGGTTTGAGGATTTCCGATCTTGGATAGAGGCAGACAAACTCAGGGCAAAGACAGAACTAAGACACTGCCGTCAGAATAGCCTCAGGCATCTAGTGAGTAAAATGCATCAAAAACACTCATACTGGGGTGAAAATATGACAGAATTTTACGTGTTTCTTTCGATCTAAGCTTTCACTTACGTAGAATTTCATCAAAAGTCTTAGATCGTTTTATGTCATTTATGTCAACAATGCAGGTTAGACAACTTGAAAAGGTCAATATATGAGTGATGTCACCAGCCTTTGCCAGCAGCCCTGACAGAAGTTTTCAGCAGAAACTCTTCTGCAAGCTCTCCGTGGGTCCATCCATCCTCCCTTCCTGAAGTCTCAGTAGGGGCCATTCGGCTATGCTTCTAGCTCCAAAAACTTCCCAGTGAGGTTCTAGAGATGAAGGTGACTCCCCCCACCCAACAAATAAAAAGTGGTAGGGAAGGATCTCCTGCTAGTCTAGAGGGGAATTGAAAAATTGAAATAATCTGTTACCTGAGAGCTGGTTTGTTCACCCAGTTTGCGGAAGATTTGGAGAAGTGGGTATAATTTTACACTGTAACTAGAACCATGGCTAAATTCCCTAATGGTATCACATGAGGACTTTAAGCCAATAGGGTAAGTGTAGAAACGACCAGCATGGTTTTGATGTTGCAGCGAGAGCGGGTGTCTTACTTTGTTTCGTGACCCACAGCTCAGAAAAATTACTTGAGCTGCTTTCAGAGAGTGAGGGCAGTGTGAGGGACTACCGTCAGAGAGTTCCAAGTGGTGGGGGTGGAAGCGACTGGGTTAAAGAGAACTGTCTTATTGCGACAGAGTGCTCTAAATAAGGCTAAGGGTGGGCTTCTCGGGGAGTCCCTCGGTGGTGCAAACGGTTAACATGCTTGGCTACTGACCAAAAGTATGGCGGTTTGAATCCACACAGAAGAGCCTCGGATGAAAGGCCTGGGTACCTGCTTCTGAAAGATCACAGCCATTGCCAACCCTAGGGAGCCCAGTTCCACTCTGAAACACATGGGGTCGTCATGAGTTGGAATCGACTCGACAGCAACTGGTTTGTTTTTGGGGCTTCTTGGAGGTCATGACAGATGACGTTTGAAAGACAAATATGAGACAGAGCCTACAACCACACAGAAACAGTCTTTTACAAGACAAAAAGAAAAAAGATGATGATAAAATGAGCGTGACCTAAAACTGTGAAGAAAGCAAACACCTTTTCTGTAAGGAGGATGAGGGATGTGTTCCTGTTACGAGCTGCTCTTCCAGCTCCCCAGTGTCGCCTCCTTCATGCTACGCTAAAACAGCTGGGTCTGTCCCTGAATCTTCCACCAACGCCCAGGCAGAAAAGAGAGTGGGAGGTTGGCAGAATTTTCAGAATTGTAAATTACCAAGACAAAACAAAACAAAACAAAACCTTCTTTGCTCATAGACACTGTGAGCTCAGGAGGATTTGTTGGGCTGAGCCACAGGAAAGGTGAAAAGATGCTGTCACAGGGAAGACAAGAGGGGGGATCAATAAAACTTTTGGTCCTTTCCAGAGCTTCAGATATTGTATTTGGCCTTAAGGACAATTTTCATTTATCACTCATGAATTGTCAGATCAATCCAATCCAAATGCTTGCACATTCTAGTTAAAATTGTCACACTGTGAATCCCAATATGGTAAGATTTGAATAAACCAAACCAAACCAAACCCGTTGCTGTGGAGTCAATTCCAACTCTTAGTGACTCCATAGGACAGAGCAGAATTGCCCCATAGGGTTTCCAAGGAGTGGCTGATGGATTTGAACTGCCGATCTTTTGGTTAGCAGCTAAGCTCTTAATCACGGCACCACCTGGGCTCCAAGATTTAAATAAACAAAAACAGAAATCAGCTGGCTTTTATCAAAGTAGCATTTCTTCATTTTAAATTGGGAGGTGCATTTGGTCCTAGACATGCTGAAAATCACTTACAGAAGTGTATAGAACAAGAATCAAGATTTGAACAGGTGACATGAAATACATTCGTAACGGGGAAAAAGGGAAAAAGTCAAAGCTAAGACTGAGACATCTTGAATGGGCCCCACTGCATTGCTACCTATCTC